GAATCTTCTAGTCCATTCCCCAGCCTCCAGGCACTGGCTGTTGGAACACAGAGGATATTCCTATAGCCCCCCTCATGCAACTGTTTGTTCTTCCCTCAGGGAAGGTGGCAGAAGCTAGTTACTTGCATCAGGTAGCTGATGTGAGTAACAAACCACCCCCGATGCTTGGCAGCGGCTTCTACCCACCTACACTGAGGTCTTGCTCACGCTACTGCACTGGGGGTCAGCTGGGGATTCTGGTTCCAGCCACCCTCGCTCCGGGACCCAGGCTGAGGCGGCAGCCCCAGCTGCAGCATCACACCAGGGCAGAAGAAAAGAGATCACAGATCGCGTGCTGGTCTTAACGTTTCTGCCTCCGCTTGCCCCTTGTCACTTCCATTCAGCATTTCATTGGTTGAGGCCAGTCACGTGGCTGTGCCTAATTTCAAAGGGAGTAAGGCAGCCTCATCTTTCCTAGTGCCGTGGCCTTAGTGACTGCTCTGCAGACTAGCTGCTCCTGTCCCTCAGGGCCGTCCTGTGTTCCCGTCAGACCACTCGGACGCTCATTCTCTGAGTCTAGTGTAGAATGTTCTTCTACTTCCACGCAAGGGTCTGTGTGATGATACACACTCCTGGGGGATTTTGTCCATACCTGGATCAGCTATTCATTATGAGTCATAGACCATCCCAAAACTTAGTGGTTTCATGTGACAAAATTCCATAGAACTACACACACACACACACACACACACACAGAAGAAGTGTATGTAAAGCTGGTAAAATCTTGGGGGCGCCTGGGTGGCTCGTTGGGCATCCAACCCTTGGTTTCAGCTCAGGTCACGATCTCACAGTTCAGTTCATGAGTTCGAGCCACACATTGGACTCCACCCTGGCAGTGTAGAGCCTGCTTGGGATTCTCTGCACCACCCCTTCATGCCCCTCCCCTGCTCATGTTCTCTCTCTCAAAATAAATAAATAAAGTTGAAAAAAAGAGCTGGTAAAATCTAAATAAAGTCGTGCCTGAGTTAGTATTGTATCGAGGTCAATTTCCTGGTTTTGACAACGTGCCACAGTTTTGTGGGATATTGTCACTGGGGGGAGCTGGGTGAAGGGTACATGAGAAATCTCTGTACTACTTTTGCATCTTCTTGTGGATCTCAAACTGTTTCATATTAAAAGGTGGTAATAACAATAATACGGACAACCATGCACTTACTCATGACCCTGCCATTTGGGCAGGCTGGGTGGGAACTGGTAAAAGCAGCTTCACTGAGGCATCTGGTGTGCCAGCTGGGGGCAGGGGGGCATCTGTTCCCCACAAGGTCTCTCCGGCAGGGCAGCTGGGCCACTTTACGTGGTGGCTCTGGGCCGCACGGGTGGCCTCGGGCTGGAGCTGACCAGTGTCCCTCTGACCATCTTTCTCTGGTCAAAGCAGTCACAGAGCCAGCCCAGATTCAAAGGGCTTGATGGGAGGGGTGGCGGAGAGCGTGTGACATCCTCAGCTCATTGTCGTCCCCAGGTGTGTCAGACCATTTGCTCCCCCCCCCCCCCCCCCCCCCCCCCGCCGGGCTCCAGTTCTGCTCCCTCACCTGTGATGTAGGGATGGAGGCTGGAGAAGGGAGAGCGTCACAGATTTAGGGGCAGAGCTGGACTCCCACCCCGGGGCTCAGCCCGCCTCGCCCCTTCGAAGCCCCGGGCTCCGTGTCAGGGCCCCCCTCACCAGCCTGGCATCGATGCTGGGGGTTCTGTTTTGCACGTGCTGGTGTTTGCAATCAAAAAGTTCAGCGGCCCTTCCAAGTGTGCTTAAATTAGTCCCCATGAAAACCAAATCATTTCATTTGCAGAGAAGGGCTTAATTGCAAGGGGAAGGAGGCAAAGGGAATTCTGTTGCCTGTTTTCATTGAAGAAAATTACTGTACTTTCCCCTGTCTCCTTACTAAACAGAAACGGCTCAGAAATTGGGCTGTAATCACCAGTGATACCTCTTCTCTCCTTTCTTCTCAGCGCTTGTTCTGTTCCTCTGCTCCCGAGGCCCTGCTCCGGACCGTCCCTGCTCACAGCCTGCGGGAGGTGGCCCCTCCACGGTGGCCTGCAGTCTCACCACACGCCACCACGTTGAGGGGTTTGTCCTCCAGGTCACGGGGGCCTTAGCCCTGCATCGGCCCCGGCTCTTGGCAGGAGGAAACATCTGTCTTCCTTTGAGAAATCTCACCGAATCTGCTCCAAGCCCTCCTCACTCACCAGGGCCGCGGAGAGGTCACAATTAGGACGCAGGGCCTGGCCCAGCCGCGTCTTACACAAATCCTGGGCTGGTCTGCTTTGGCGCCTGGCCCCTAGACCACCTTCACCCTGGGGCCTTCTGTCACATGGTGCGGTGGGCTGGAAGGTCCTGGGGGCTCTGTGGCATGTTAGCTTATGACACGCTCATAGGGAGCTGTAGCCCTCTCTGTGTGACAGCCCTGCCCCGCTGGGACAGTCCAGCCTGATTGGCTCTGTGGCCAGGGTCCCCCTGGGGAGGGGGATATGGACACTTCAGGGAAGCAGGTAGCAGGCTGGTAAGTTGCAGGGGCGGGTGTATGAGTAAGCACCTCCATTAGGAGAGACAAAAAGGTGGGCGGGCCCTAGATGTGCGGGGGAGGGGCGCAGCTATGACTCCCAATGGGACAGTGGTCTGGAGGAGGGGGTGGGGAGTACGTGGGGACTCAGAGGCTCGGAGGCAGCGGCGGGTCTGGTCAGGGTGGGGGCAGCAAGGCGTGTGGCCTGAGCAGAGGCAGGGCAAGCACGATGGCAGGTCACAGGAGCCTCCTAGAGCCTGTGTGAGGTCCTGGCTCTTCCCTGGGACGAGGCGGCTTTACTGTTCTGGTGAACCCAGGGCAGCCCGACAAATCTTGAGTGGCCCCTCCTTACTTTCTTCGGAGAAGGGAAGAGAGCAGGGCTGACAACACAGGCTCTGGAACTGGTCTGTCTGGGTGTTCGGACCGCAGCTCCACTACTTGCCTGACCAACCTGTGCCTCAGTTTCCCCCATCCCATATAAAGGGGATAACCACAGCGTGGGGGTGTTGTGGTCATTCAGCGGGCTAAAGCTCCCTATGAGCTTGTCATAATGCTGTCATGTATTGCCTGATTTTACTTTTTCCTGATAACTTCCCCCACTACAGGGACAAAGTGACTGATGAGTGCAAGGTCCCAGCAAAGGACAGAGCCGGTCCTGAAGATGCTGAGTGCCTGCCTCCACCCCACTGCTCATTGGTGGCACGTTCCCCCACCCCCCTGCCCCCACTCATCCCCTCTGCCTCTCTTTTCCCTGGTGCACCATGGGCCCCTCTGTCCAGATTCTCTCCTTGTGTCCAGAGCTTTCTCTGGGGACAGGGGTGGAGAAGCTGGCCTGGCTGCCTGAGGAGGGCTGCTGGAAGAGTTGCGTCCAGTTGCTGCCTAACCACTGCCCGGCCCCTTCCCTTTGGCGGAGGCCGACAGGATAATGGATTTGAAGTCCGCACACCTGCCTCAACAAAGGGATTTTTTTTGTGTGTGTGAGGCTCAAAGTCAATGGTGTATTAATTAAGGGGAACAGCTGCTACCGCAGTTCTTATGATAAGTCAGTGACAAATGGCCGTGTTTACCTTTCTCCTGAGCAGAGGCTCCGGAAGATGGCCTGGAGCTCCTGGGTGGACGTCCACGGCCAAGATTGGTGGGGTACAGCCTCTCCCTCTTGTACTCCCCAAGCTTCTTTATTGGCACCACCCAAGCCCAAGAGGGCTATTTGTCACTGAAGAAAGACAGGTCCGCGGCCCAGGGAGCCTTGAAGGGAGTGGGCAGAGCAATGGAAACTTCTCTGTAATGGCTCCCACCCAAAAAAGATGCCCTCAGACCCCCTCCTCAGGCAAATCCCACCACCCTGCCCTGTCCCTTGTGCAGTGAGAGCTGCTTGAAAGAAAGACGTGGCCCTTCAAAGCGGAGGAGGGCTGCAGGGCCGGATCTGAGGCTGTGCGGCAGAGGACGCATCTCCGGGCCTTTGTGCCGCTCGGGCGCTCCGTGCTCCATAAAGGCAGGGGCCGGCTGGCGGGGGCCTTTTGTTATTTGGCTTATTTTGATCTTGCTCCCGCTCTCCAAACAGTCTCACAGAAATAGAGCCCTGCATTAGCTCCCTTCACAGCTTAAGACAAAACACAGCAGAGGGAGAATGTTTCACTGAAAAACAGAAAAGGGAAAGGTGGGCTCATTTCTGTCTGGGTCCTTTGACTATCAATTTATCCAGCAAATTCCCAGCAGATGGGAGGAGAGCGGGACGGTGCTCACCGGCCAGCCACCACCTGCAGGTGGGACCGCGCGGGGGCGCAGCAGGGCCGGCTGAGGAGGAAGGGCTGGATCTTGGTGCCAGCTCCAATGCCCGCAGCTCTGGTGTGCCCTCGGGGTAGGGGCTGCCCTGGTGGAGAGCCGTAGGGCCGGCAGCACAGTGAGCCCCTGCCCTGCAGAGTCCTGTGGGCCCTGCTCCCTCCCAGACAGCACTTGGGCCTCCGCAGTCTCCAGACTAGAGTGTTGCCAACATCAATCTCCCGCCTCCTTTAAGGACACCGTCGGCTGCCAAGGAGCCCCACCCGACCTCACTCTGCTCTTCCTTTCTCCCCCTGGGGGCCTCTGGGGCCCTGCGGGGAGGCAGAAATGGGGCCCAGGAAAGAGGGTCTACCGATCTCCAGCCCTTGCCACCCACTCACTGGGACCAGGTGGGTGCCTTTTGACTTCATCCTGCAGGGTGTGGTAGTCATGCCCTGTTGTAAATGGGGAAACTAAGGCTGTGAGAGGTTGTGTAGTTTGCTGGAGAACCCCGTCACGAAAAGGCCGGGGCCCGGAGGGAGGAAGGCCAGCTATCCCGAGAAGGCTCAGGGCCCCTGCGCGGCCCACCCCAGCCTCCTCTTCCAGCTGACCTCTCGGGAGCCAGTGCTTCGTAACCCCACCATTTACCATTCCTTATAACTTGCTTGGGCGGGGGGGGAAGGGCAAGAACCATGCACGAGAAACACATCCATTTTTAATAAATAGTTTATTTATCCAACAGTTTCAACCCTGATATTGAAGCCTGTTGCAGCATTATTCTTCTGGCTGCAGCCTTGATTAAGAGACCATTTCTTTGCCACGGGGCTGGCGCTCAGAGTCCAGCCCCGCCGATCATCCAGACATCAGAGGAAATGAGAGAGTATTGCTCAAATGAGGGAGACCGGAGCTTTATTAAGGAAACAAAAAATACCAGGAAGACCGAAAGGGGGTGGTCGGTGCCTTCTGGAGGCAGCTGTTTCGGCTCCTCTGCTTGCCCCTCTCCCGCGGCCGCAGATGAGAACATACGGGGACGAGGCTCTGCTGGAGAGGCTCCTCGCACTTAACTAATAAGGCCCCCCGCCGGGGTGTTTGCGGAGACAGGCTCCCGCGACGCGGGCTGATGGGCTGGCGGGGGGCCGCGAAGGTCTGCGGCGGCGCCGGCACGCTCCCGGGGTGGCCAGCAGGGGGCAGCCGAGCCGCCCTCGCGAACCTAGTCGGTGCCGGAAGTTCTGCTTAAGCAGCCCCGGCGTGGGGACGCTGTGGCCGCCACGGGACAAGGTGACCGTCGCACGCCGGAGGCGAGACCCTCCCCGGGTCCTGCAATCTGCGTTCTCGGCCCGATGCAGTGCCCTGGCTGCAGGTCTGGTCTAGAACTGCGACTCTGTGAGCAGCACCACTAAAGAGGCCGCCTCTGGGCAGCCCTACCCGCCTCGCCGCTTTCGGCCCGTGTCTGCTCCCGGTTGCTCTCAGGCGGCCACGCCAGCAGCTCACTCCCGACCCAAGGGTCCTGCGTGCCAGGGCCTGGCATTTCTAGATAGTCCTTCTACAGTACTCGTTCTAATTGCTAGCACCTTCCCCCTTCAGGATAAAAGAGGCCCAACCCAGCTAGAGGACAGGCTTTCTCCCCTCACCCTTGAGCTCCCAGGTAACACCCTCTGAAGGCACATGGACCAATCTGCTCCCCGACCCCTGCCGCCCCAGCCTGCCATCCCGACCCACCGCCCACCTGCACGATGCCCACCCTGCTGAGTGCTCGCCAGCGGTGGACGAGCTCCAGCCCAACCTAACTGCACACTAGCTCTGCAGGGTCTCACAGCTGCTGCTCTTTCATCTTTTTTGTTCATCAAAAACAAACCCTTCTCCCCTCTCCTGCCGGCAATCGGGGCACAGGATTGGACCAATGCAGAGGGCAAGGCCTCTGGCTTTTCCCCTGCGCCCTTCAAGGAAGCCCACGCTTCCCTACAAGCTAATCTCTGAAGAGTCTTACAGAGACCTTTGGAACCAGAGTCTGGAGGAAGGTGAAAGTCAAGGCAAGTGTGAATTCAGCACTGGCAGGTCTGGTGGCCTTCTCGCGCCCCCGGAGGGGACTGGCCTGGGACAGGCCGACTGGGAACAGGCCCCCGCCCGGGATTTATCGCTCTGAGTCGGAGAAGGAAGAGGGCTTAGTCCATCTCCACACCAGCATATCCTCTCCAGCCACACGGTGGGACTCTGTCTGGATCCGGGATTCGTTGGACGCCAGGAACTCCACAGCCCGGTCCCAGACCCGCTTCATGCGCCTCCTGCAACGACAAGGACCAGGCTCAGCAGGCAAGCTGCGCCCCGGCAGCTCCACTGGGTACTGCCCAGAGAAGCGAGCTGGTCCGGACGCACCCTCTGTACAAACTTGGGCCCTGACTCCAGGATCTCGCGCAGAATTTATCTGCGGGAGGAAAAGGCATCAGGTACCAACAGAGCTCCTGCAGAGGAGAGGAATTTCTTGAGCCACAGAGAAATAATTCCTCAACCTTCTCTGCTCCAAAAGCATTCAATTAAAGGGAGCTGAAGGGGGCCAGAGGGGGCCAGGGCACCCCCAGGTGTCCAAGAGGGAAGGGGTTGTGCTGGCCTCAGCCAGCGCTTGCTGGGACCTGTTACCGCAGCAGCCCGGGCCAGGCGGCCCCACCACCGGTGCCGGCTGCATTCTAATGCCCCATGTGGGCTAATTAAAGAGTGGCCACTGGGCTGTCGAGTCCAAACTCCACAGTACTTTGGAGCACGCGAATGAGCTAAGCATCCAACCGGGGAGGCGAAGAAGCTGGAGCTGCTCTTGGAACCAGAGCTACCGGCCAGGGCCCCTTCTGCTCTGCTGGGTCCCTGGGGCCTTGCATCCCCTTGGACAGCCCCCTGTGGTCTCTTCCCCCTCCAGACTAGACAGGAAGAGTCCAAGGCAGTCAGGGAGGATTGCTTTGACGTCCTCTTCGATGAGTTCCCGTCTTTCGTCAGCACCGCAGACCACCTCCCTGTGACCCCTCGCGTGGAGAGTGAACATGGGTGTGTCCATGTGGGAGCGGGAAGGTTCCACCTGGGGGAGGACAAAGGAGGGAAGCACCCAAGGTGGCCCGTGGGTCAGGAGTCAGAGCTGGGGTGTCAGGGCTTTCTCCTCCAGAGGTCAGGTCCCGTGGGGCAGGCCCACTGGGCTGCTCTAGCCCCAGCCCCCCCTCCCAGGCAGCGAGCAGGCCTGCGCCAGCCAGGCCCCACGGCTCTCCCTCAGTCTCACGGGCGGACCCTCCTCTGCGGGGCACACCCGACGGTGCCCACGCAGGGCCGACAGCAGCGGACAGGTCCTCGCGACATGAGGGCTCAGGTGCACCGACCGGGGGCCTGGGAGATAAATCGAGAGGCTGGGAGCCAACATGGCTTGAGTCTCCCGGGGTTTACCGACCGGGCTCAGTCCCGCCTGTGGTCCCTGCTGTGGCGTGGGAGCTGAGGCCGGGTGGCCCGGCCGGAGACAAGCCGCGACGGCACTCTTGCTCTTACTTCAGTGAGCATGTGGGTTGCATGGAACTGAAGCCCAAGCAACAAGGGCCACTCTTGGGTGAGTGCTCACGTGCTAGGCACAGACTTAATGAGCTGTGAGGCCACTTCCTGACACCCCGTCCCCCTTTCCTGAGGACTTGTCACTACTGCCTAATAGCACACATTTTCCTTATGCATCTTGTCACCTCTCTTCCTCCCTAGAACCAATGTTCCGCTGGGGCGCGGATTTGGGTTTCTTCTCCCCACCGTCTCCCCGGGACCCAGTAGCATGTGGCCTGCGGTTGGTGCTCAATAAACATTTGTTGCGTAAACAAGGGCTTCAGCGCAGCCCTCTGCGCGGCAGTGGTGTCTTTGTTTTGGATGAGGAAACTGGCTCGGAGTGGCTGTGACTCATGGTCACGTGGCGACTCCTGGTGGGGCCAGGAATTTGGTGGGAGTCTGAAAACACCAGGCGGCCTCCTCTTGGGAGCCGGAGGGCGACGTAGCTGCCTCCTGCTGAGGACCAAACAACAAGCACGAGCCAACGCTGCCGTGGTCAGTCTGCTCTCCCTAAGCTTCCTGCCTGCACGTCCCTAAAGAAGGATGAAAGTTACTAAGCATTTACAAGTAAAACCTTAAATGTTTTGCTCTTCCAGTTCCTCTTGGGTTGCACAGACGTGCCACCAGCGCTGGGCCTCGAGCAAGCTCCTTAACCTCCCTATGCCTCAGTTTCCTCATCTGTTAGATGGGGTACTCACTGTTCTCACCTTGCAGGGCCACAGTGAGGAGCCAGTGAGTGTGGGCTTTGCCCGTGGAGGGCACAGAGCAGCGCCGGCTTGCAGTGAGTGTTCGTCCCCCTCCGGAGAGATGGCATCCGGCTGGAGACCGCGGCGAGCTACTGAGGGGGGCCCCACAATCTGGGCCGACACCTTGGCGGGCCCTGATGGCTGCCCCCTGGGACCCTGTCCTCCAAAGCTACCCCACATGCGGTTTTGCAGATGCCCACATCCGGCATCTGCAGCCCATGTGAAAGGTCCCCTGGTGTCATGCAGGACAATGGCCTGTTACCCCTTCCCATGCAGCCGTGCCCCCTGGGAACGGACCCCATCCACGGCCGTGAAGTTCTGCTTTCAACTGCAGGTACACTTGTGTGCGTGCGCATGCGTGTGTGGGAAGTGAACCGTATTTTAGATAACATGTCATGGGCCATGGTTAAAAATGTTTGAAAAACAATCTCCTCCTTACTAGTGACTGATTCAAGAATATGGGGCACGTGGGTGGCTCAGTCGGTTAAGTGTCCAGCTTCGGCTCAGGTCACCATCTCACAGTTTGTGAGTTTAAGCCCCGCGTTGGGCTCTGTGCTGACAGCTCAGAACCTGCAGCCTGCTTTGGATTCTGTGTCTCCCTCTCTCTGCCCCTCCTCCAATCACACTTTGTCTCTCTCTCAAAAATTCTAAAGAACAGACAAGTAACCGAGTCTGGCCAGCAGGGCCTCAGTGAGTGTGTCACTGGCAGCTTCTGGGAATGTTTTCTCCTGCTTGTGAGAGCAACGGGAGGCCCCTCTCTCCCCTGCTGGCTGTGACAAGGCAGATGCTGGTCCAGCTGCTGCTGGCCACCATCCTGTGACCGCGAGGAACTCCCGCCAGCGCACGACATCCACAGAAGCCAGGACCCCAAGGATCGCAGAAAAAAGGGACCAGGGACCCGACTATTCTGTGTCTGGAGCGCACATGACTCTGGACTTCCACTAATGGAAACCTATCAGATCCTTCCCGGCTTGAGCCACCCAACGCTAACAGAGGAGTGGGACCATGTTTCTAAACCTCTGGTCTGCGTTCTGCCACGAAGAGCCGAGCGCCGGAGGAGTGGCAGGAGGCGTGCGTGGTGGCCCCCTCCCCTGGGATCCTCGGGGCTGAGCTCCCCCTCCCCCCGCCCCATAACTGATGCTCGGGGCTCCTTCCGTGGCACTCGGCAGGGCCGGACCAGGACTCACCGGCTCTGCGGAGGGATCAGGGTGTCGCGCACGTGCAGGATGCCCACGTACGGGTAGCGCTCCATGTCCTGCTCCCAGTCCACGTAATGGTCCTGGACCACGTCTGCAGGGTAGGGCAGGGGGCACGGTTAGGACAAGGACCTTCCGGCGGGTGCCCGCAGTCCTCGCCCCAGGGGCCACACACCTATAATCTTCTTCACCATCTCATACATGGCTTGCTCCTCTTCTTCCAACTTCCGCCACCGATACTTCAGGAGGATCAGGAGGCCCCACAGAAAGGCCAAGCCTGTGAGGGAACAAAGGCCCGGTTAATCCTCACGTCACCTGCGGCCACTCAGAGGCACACTGCGTGTCAGTCTGGGTCGGTGGCTGCGCTGGAGGCTATGGGTGAGCCGTACAAGTGTTGTGAGCACCTACTATGTCTCAGGCCCCGGCTAGCATGCGGGAGGGGACAAAGGAGGTGGAAATGCAAAGGGAAGGCAGGCCATTAAATGATCATCTTCCTCCTGCTGGCTGTCACCACAGAGGCATCCCCAGCCGTCCAGATTGCAGCTCCTCCCAACCGCATTCCGGGACTTTCATCTCCTCCCTTGTGAACCAGAACACGGCGTTTCATACATATATACATGCGGGGCCCTTTGTATTCCGGGATGCTGCTGCCGATAATGATGTCTGTGCCTGATGGTGTGGGTGAGGGAGCTGTGTGCACGCCCAGATGGCCTGTGATTTGTAACTCAGCCATGTCTGCAGAGCCGGCAGTTTCTAGGACTCGGCCTTTTGCCTTCAGAGACACCCCAAGGTCTCTGCTCAAAGGCGGCCCCTGATGTCGGGAGACAAGACTCACGCTCTGCTTTTCAGCTCAGCGCTGAAAGGGTCCTTCCTGCTTTCATCAGGTACCTAGAGCTCCCAAGGAGAGGGAGTAAAACTAGGCCAAGCTCCTGGTGCGCCGCCTCCTCAGAGAGGCCTGCACTCTGGGGCCCCCAGGGCGACGATGCTGGGCTCCAGCCAGCACCCATCTCCCTCTCAGGGACACTGACGGTCCCCGACCCTGAGCAAGGATGTTTTTAGTTATCCTCACGCTCCCGCCACCAGTCTCTAAAGGTAAGATGAACCAGGGCAGAGGCTGACTTGTTCATCTCCTCTGTTTTATTAGACAGACCTCAGGTTCACTAGACAGAAATGAACTCTCTGGGCCTGGGCTTCCAGAACTCATCACTCATGCCTAGGAGTGTCACTGAGCTGGGCTCCTGGGAGGTGCTCTGGGAGCAGTCCCCGCGGCACAGGCAGGGGGGGAGAAGGGCAGCCAAGGACTTACACCAGAAGAAGATGAGCAAGTTGGTGATAGCAGTGAACAGGGCGCGGCTCAGGCGGCAGCCGACACCCATGCGCGGGCGGGCGGATTCCAGGCACACCACCTTGTCCACGGTCGTCACCAATTCTGATGGGTCTTCCCCTTTCAGCCTGAAACAGGACACAGGGCTGCAGACACATTCAAAAGCTCCCAGGAGCTGTGGGATCGGCCCCACTCAAGGATGGGCTTTGAGGCCTCTACTTGCTTATGAAATAGACTCGGTATCCTGGTTGCATGCTTTCCCGAAATTTCCCACGTTGGCTACTTAGGAAGAATAAAGCTTTAAAGACGGCAGCAGGCTTGAACCCCTACCGCTAAAGTGACGTCCCCCTCTGTCGGGTCTTTTGACAGCCCCTCTCAGCGTGTGGAAGATTAAACTGTAAATTGGATTCTCACCTCCCAGCATAGAGAAATGGAAATGTTTACTGAATTGCTGGCTTTGCACTGCATGGCAGGAACTGAAAGAGTCTGGGAGGGTGTGCTTTTCCTCAGTGATGGTGACAAAGAGGCATATAAGCTGTTTAAGGGTAAAGATCGGGGTGCCGTGAGCCTCAGGGAATGACGACCACCGGGCTCCCCGAGGCCAGGCCCCAGCCCCAGCGCCTCCACCCTGGCCACTGAGAGGAGGTGTCAGGACACACGGGGATGGATGCCCACACCTACACGTTCTTCCAGCTGGGTGACAGTCTCGTGCTCTGGACCGCACAGTGCAATGCCCAGTATCTGTAGCGTCCCGACTTCTAACGACCCACTTTGAACACTGGTCGTGTGAGCTGGGCCCGGCCCCCCTCCTGACTACCTTCCCCAGAGTGGAAGGGCGAGCGTCATCATTCTTCTGTGCTAGCAGCTTCGGTGAGTGCCGTGGAGGATAAAATCCATATTCTCCTTCGCCTTTCCTAACACACAGGAAAATCGCTCAGCCACTCAGGGAAGCTTTATTCTTTTTTAAGCCAACGAATTTTAATCGTGCCACGCATCCAGTTATCAAGCTTTGGGTTGAGCTGCCCGAGGGGCTTCCGGTAGAGGCACTGCTGATGGAATTAGTAGTCTGGGTGGATTAGAGAGGAAGGGAACAAAACCCTGGAGGGTGTCTGAATATCAGGAGCTATGGCCTGAGCAGAGACCCCGACAAACCCTGAGAAACGAGAGGCAGTGCCAGGATGATGAACTCTGGTGGGGGTGGGGGGGGGGGGCATCACTGGTGTGCCCTGCCCCCGCCAGCTGAGCAGCCAGATGGGGCTTTTCAGGAGGGCGAGAGGGCTCACCATCTCTGCGAACAGTGCTCCCCAGAGACAGAACTGAGGCGGAACTGCCCAGTCAGAATAAAATCCAGTATTTCCTTTAGCCATTTCCACACAGAGTGAAACCGACATACAGAAACATTTGTCTAGGAATGAAAACTAGCACCCGGGGAGAGGAAGTGCAGAAAAATGCCTTCTCCAGCAATCCACCACGTGGGACCAGTGAATTCAAAGCGAGTCACCTGAAACAGGTTTAGCTGGAACACTAGGCTAATGTCCCGCCACCCGGATTTTGTGTCTTATCTGCACCCCAAACGCTTCTTCCTTCCGTTGCCTGGCTTCAGGCTTAGCCCACAAGGACTCAGCTGGGAGACCTGCCTCTAACTTCAGACCCGAGACACCTCTGTGAGCACACGGCAGTCAGCTGATGGGTGAGGACCACGGCCACGGGTGCTTGTGGCGGGGCCGCCACCCTGTGATGTCTCGCCCGCACTCACCAGATGCCCACGTCCTTGTTACTGCTCAGTATCCAGGTCAGCGCAGCTTCAAACTTGGCAGAGGAGCTGCTGGTCACGTTCTGTGGGAGGGGGCGGGAGATGAGTTCTGCGTCTGGGCCGAGCAGCGGGAACATTATTCTCCTGCTGGATTAAGGAAGCCCTCTCCCGTGCCCTCCGTGGGCCCCAAAGCCCTGTTCCACTACATGCACAGCAAAGTGGCAGGCAGGAAATCTGGGCTGCTGGGAGTCAAGAAGGAGCTCTGCCCGGAGGAGTTGATGTGGAAGCACACACGAGGAAACGACGCAGGTCTGAGGTAGCCAAAGGAATTATCATTTCCTCGAGGACCAAAGTGTCAGGCCAGAGAGCTGGCAGCTCATCTTGGGGAAAATGAAAAACAGTGTGGGGATGGGAGCCCAGTGGCCAGTCCCAGATGTGTGGCCTTGGGCAAGTCCCTGTCCCTCTCTGAGTCTCAGTTTCCTTGTTTGGGAAGTGGCAATGACCTAGGAGACCCCTAAGGTTTCTGTCAGCTCCAAAGTTCCGCCATTCTATCAAACTGGGGCCAGGCACACAGTCAAGCAGACCCTGAGCAATCTGCACAGCGAACGAAAAGGAGAGAACGGACAGGTGAAATGTAGATCCACAAAGCTGCTGGGAAGGAGAGCAAGGGGGAGCGAGTAACAGGGCCACTTAAAGAAGAGGTGGCCTGCAGTGGCCGCACTGGCGGCTCAGGAGCCAGCCCCCCACCCACATGCCAGCAGGCTGGGCTCTGGCTCATAGCTCACCTTGGACCGGTCACTCCTACTGCTGCCTAAACTTGCAGCAGCCTAGCACTCAACTAAGTTAAAAAAAAAAAAAAAAAAAAAAAGGAAAACAAAAAAGCCAAAAAAAAAACAAAAAACAAAAAGGGAAAAAAAAAAAAAAAGCAGGGCTTGAAAGATCACTACAAAAGCGCCAGCACCTCTCGGGAATGGGTAAGCGCTGCAGCCTTACTTACTGCTAGGTATTCCTGGGCCTCCATTACAGGAATGCATTTGCTTTTCAGCTTCTCTGGATTTCCACATTCAAAATTACCTAGGAGGAAAAAAACACACATTCAAACACAAAGAAGAGGTGGGGGAAAAAAAATGACTCTGAAACGGACTAAAAAAAATGCAGCAAGAATCAAGCCATCAGCTCTGATAGGGAGCATGTGGCCCTGTGGCTCTGGCTTCTGTGGGGCATCTTCACTCTGCAGCAAGATCAAAAGCCACTTAGCTTGGATCGATTCCAGATCATTAAAACCTGACCTGCAAAGCAGTGCGGTGATTTGCATTAAATGACTAAAAAGCTGCCCAATCCTAAGGTCTGTTTGCAATTGATCCCTAAAAGGATCAGACAGATAGCTTTGGAAGGTACCAGAATGGCACTATAAATAAACACAACCTGGGAAAAAAGAAAGGCAGGGAGGCCGGAGGCACTGCAGGGATTCTGACCGTGACATAGGCAGGTGACCTGAACTCCAGGCCCACCGTTTCAAGGGGTTCTGGGGAGGGGTGTCCAAAATGGCCCAAAGAGAAAGAGGGCATCTCTGAGCTGGGTAGTGGGGCCTCGGCATGGTGCTCCAAGGGGCCACTCCCTTCCAAGCACCCTGGGTGAACAGCTCCCACCCAGGATGGAGCTGGGAGCCTCCCCTTAGGCCTGCCCGGGGCCACGTCCTCTGAAAAATCCCCAGCCCGTGGGAGAATCTTGTTGGACCAAATTGCTCTGGACTTGGGGGCCCACCACAGCCGTTGGTTCTCAATAGCCTGCTATGGTCCACCCACAACGTGCTGTTTCCCATGGGTCACTAGACTCCTTGAGAGCAGGGACAGCACAGGGTCGGCAGGTACAAGAACCTGAACCCACGCACAGCCTGACTGCTCTTAACCTGGCACAGCTTAGGGGCTACGGATGGCTAGTCTGTGCGTCTGTGTGCTGGGGACTGAGTGGCTGGGAATGAACATTAAAAAGCTTGAGAACGAACTAAAGCTTATCCCTCCTATGCCAAGTTGATCTTGACCTTATGGGACCCCTGAGACCAAGGTGGCTGCCATGGTCTGCCCCACCCTAGATCACCCCGCCTGGACCACCGCCACGGCCTCCTGATTGGTTGCCTCCTCTCCCCTTTCTCTTCCACGTTTGAGCAACCAAACTTTAAAACGATTCTGCTTACGTGACACTACTACACTCAAGCTGCTGTCACATTTGCATTCCTGGCTGCTGGCTCTCAGCACATCACTCCCCTGCTCAGAAGCCTCCCCGGTGCTCAGTGCCTGCAGGATGAAGCCCCGAGGGCCTGGCCTCTATGGCCACCCATGGTAGAGCCCGGCCGACCTTCCCAAACTCCATTCCTTCCATTTTTTCTTCCCTCACGTGGCCAGCCGCTTCCAGCCCTGACCCTGTCATTTCCCCTTTGGCCTTGCCTTCCCCCGCACATATGCAGAACCAATCCTTGCTGGGCTTCGGCGCCCGGCAGACACCGCCTCCCCTGTGACGCTTTCCCGACTGCTCCAGCTAAAAGGCAACGTGCCTCCTGGAACTTCCGGCCTCTCGGTTCTCATCCAGTCACACTGTGTATCAGCCAGTGGTCAGGGAGGTAGGTGGTTTGTCTCTTCTACTAGACCATAAGCAGCCCGTGGGCTGCAAAGGCCACCACAATTCCCTGCCCATAGGTGACCTCCAAGGCAGGGCGGGGGTGGGAGGGGAGTATGGCCTAGTAGAGCCCTCATTCCCCTGCGGCGAGACCCTCAGGGTCGCCGCTGCCAGGCTTGTCAGAGGACAGGAGGCAGCAAACCCCTGGATGGCATAAGCCAGGACCACATATGAAGGGTGGGGTGGAGGAAAAATGTCTACCAGCATCCACAGTTTAAGAGGAGAGCTTCTCTACTTTATGCCCCGGGGGGCTTCTGAAAATGCAGACTTTAATTCATAGGTTCGGGATGGGACCTCAGAGTCTGCATTTCCAACAAGCTCCTGGGTGATCCTGATGCTGCTGGTTCCTGGGCCACAGCTGAGTCACTAAGGTCTGGAACACCCTCACAGGCCAAAATTTATAGTCTAAGCACCTCAGCCATGGAGAAAGGCCCCTGAGGCCTGCGATGCTGTGAGCTCCCATTCCTCCTGCTCTGCTCCTCTGAGCTGCTCACAGATGCCTCCATGACCACCTCCAGTCTCCCACCGTTCAGGAGGGAGGTGGTGGCAGAGCTGGGACCACAAGACTGGCCCCGAGGGCTGAGGGCCCACTACAGGCCCATCTGGCCTTGATTTCCTAGCAACAACCTTCCACAAGGGTTGGCCCCACAGGTAAGAGGTGCCTCCTGAACATCTCATAAGACTGAATAGCTCTGTCTGATTTTGGTGCCAAATATATTTAGCCTGGTACTCAAGCCCTGGTCATTCACCGATACCTTTAGCAAGTGATTCTGAGAGGTGTGGGGAGGTGGTATCTCTGGCCTCAAATTTTCTTTTTTTTTTTTTTTTTTTTTTTTTAATTTTTTTTCAAAGGTTATTTTTTTTGGGGGTCAGCGCTGGGGGGGCATGAAAGGGGGGGGGGGCC